GTACTTAAACTTTTAGTAAACTTTTAGTACAAGTCAAGTATAGTGTAAGATAAACTTGGTTAAGTATATCTCAGATAAGTACATAAAAAGTAAACTGGAAGTATACTTCTTTTATTTTAAGTTTAAAATTAGTATACTTAATGGATACTTGCAAATACTGCAGGTCCAGGTCCCGGATCCAGATCTGGATCTGTGTGTGGCTCTGATTTAAGCAACAATCATGAAAATGACAGGAAATAAAACTTCTGTGTGGAATAAATCTATAGAATAACGTTAGATGTTTGTATTAGGTTACTAAAAATAAAATAAGTTGTAATTTACTGAGCTGTTCCTGTAATAATGTTTCATTTAAACTGACATGAGCCACGATGTAAGGAGCTAACAAACAGATAATTAAAACAATAACCTCACTAACAGACCTGTTATCACTTAGTTCAACTGATAACCTGTTACCTGACGAGCTAAAACACACAGAAACTCAGTAAATAATAATAAATAAAACACACATCGCTGAAGACCGAGTGGTTAGCTTCATGTTAGTTAACTGACCGGTTTAACTTGATCTCGTCAGGTTTACCGGGACGTTAAAAACACGAACAAACGAGTCGTTCACCTCTGAACAAATCGCTTTAAAATCCGTCAAACATCCCATGAAAGTTCACTCAGCAGCTCATCGGTTTCTGTTTCCTCTGAACGGCTGCTAATCAACTGCAGCGAACAGGAAGTGACGCAAAGCGGTGACGCAGCACGACGTGTCAGCAGAGGTTTACGCTGCCCCTGGTGGACAACACAGGAACTGCAGGTGTTTTTTAAATTGATTTTTCACTAGATTTATTTATTTATTATACATTATTTAACATATGCAGATATTTGTACATGTTGGTTGAGTTTGTAAATATTTTATGCTTAATATAAAAAGTAAAAAATGCTAGTTAAAAGCACTTATTTGTATTTATTAATGATGTAATGATTCACTCGAGCCCCGATTCGATTTGAATATCAATTTTAAGTTATTTTTTTTCAACAAAATGAATTGTAGTCATTTCAAAACAAATATGTTCTTTTGTTTTGATGCTAGCATTTTGAAAGTTTCTACTCTTAGTGACAGATTTTTTTAATTGTATTTATTCATTCATTAAAATAAATAAAATAAAATCTATTTAAAATAAAAACAAAACATAATTCATAAATGAAATATAAGGAAGCAAAAAGACTGTAAAAATCTTATTATATCTGCCCCTTTTTTCCCAAAATTAAATTTTAACAAAATTTGTTCCCAAAGAACACGTATTAAATATCACATTTCTTCAACAAAACTCGCCTTTATTATTCTAATATCTAAATATGACTTCAAAATAGGTATAAATGTCATCACAAATCCAAAAGTTATGAAGTATTAAATTGACTTTGTCTTGATGTCAAAACTTATTGTTATAGAATAAAAATCAATTAATTCTTTTTATGATTCGATACATTTTTGTGAATCAGTTCATGTTTTAAGCAGGAGTAATGAGTTTTTATTAATAGTTAATTCTTTAAAATCAGTTGTGTCCAGTCCTGCAGTGCTGCCATCCAACATGTTTTTACCTGTTTTCCTGCTTGAAAACCACTGAACGAGACCCCCAAACCCCCCAGGAACAGTTACAAAGAAAAATATTTTCCACATGTAAATACACCCAGCTCAATCTGAAAACAAAACTAATTAAATTTAAATAGTTTGATGTGTTGAATTTTATTATTGACAAAAATTTACAGATTAATTCACTAAACCTTATCTGTCTGTAGAAAAATAAAAAATGGACACTTTTAACCTCAGTGTTGTTTTTTCTCATGTATTTTAAATAAAAATTTAAATCAATTATACATTATAAATGTAAATATTAAGAACAAAGGTCAAAAAAGGTTTTAGAAATTCTAATTTTTCATTTTATCATGAATAAACTTTTCGGGTTTTTGACAGAATTTTAAATGAAATCTTTATAAAAGCTGCAGAAATCACTAAAAAGATGTTTTTATCATCTGATAAACTTCAATATGAGGCTGAAAAAATAAAAATAAATTAAAGTTTAAACAGAGTTTAGTTTTAACAATTAAACAATAAATATTCTTTGAAGAAAAACTTCTAAAAAAACCATTTAATTCATTTTCCACCAAACTGCAAAAAGTAAATCGAACAACTTTTACTGAATTCATCCAATAAACTAAACTTTAATGAAGAGACTCAAACTTCAGGGTTTCTTGTAAAATAAATGTTTATAAAAAGTTTTCAATGAAACAGAGAAAACTAACAAACTACAAACATAAACTAGTTTTAAACTGGAGACATGAGAGGAGCTGGAATAAAACCTTCACTTAATGTCGATATCATCAGAAACGTATCCTTCAGTAACAAAAATAAAAACAAACTAACAGGAAGTCTGTTTGGTTTTATGGCTTGAAAACAAACATTTTATGGCTTAAAAAGAAACAATAAATAAACCAAACGGTCGTTTTTTCAAGCAGCAGAAGTGAAACAGTTTGATCAGGTTGAGTCTTTGTTTCCAGGAAGTTTAAAATAAATTCTTTCAGCTTCAAAACAAACAGATTCTGGATCTGAGGAAGCCCCGCCCCCTGCAGCAAACACTAAGCCCCGCCCCTTCTGAAAACACTAAGCCCCGCCCCCTTCAGCAAACGTCCAGGATCTGAGGAACCGGGTCATGGATCTGAGGAACCGGGTCTAGGATCTGAGGAACCCGTTCCAGGATCTGAGGAACCCGGTCCAGGATCTGAGGAACCCGGTCCAGGATCTTCTGATGGATCAGTTTTTAAAACTTCATCCAGCGAGGAGCTTTGAAGATTTACAGTTTTATTAAGTTTCATACTCACAAATACTGGACCTGCTGACTTTACTGAACCCAGAACCTGATGAGTCCTGGACCGGACCTGGTCTCTCTCTCTGGACCGGACCTGGTCTCTCTCTCTCTGGACCGGACCTGGTCTCTCTCTCTGGACCGGACCTGGTCTCTCTCTCTCTGGACCGGACCTGGTCTCTCTCTCTGGACCGGACCTGGTCTGTCTCTCTGGACTGGACCTGGTCTCTCTCTCTGGACCAGACCTGGTCTCTCTCTGGACTGGACCTGGTCTCTCTCTGGACTGGACCTGGTCTCTCTCTGGACTGGACCTGGTCTCTCTCTGGACTGGACCTGGTCAGTCGGAGCGTTTGTGTCAAACGTCCTGCGAACCTGAACACATGCAGCTGCTGGTAGTTTTCTGAAGGGGGCGGGGCTTAGTGTTTGCTGCAGGGGGCGGGGCTTAGTCCTCGCTTCGTCTCACAAACACGTGAGCGAGAACATCTTACATTCTGTTTGATCTGGAGAACAGGTTGAAACTCTACAAAATAAAGGAGTTGTTGCAGTTTTGAGCCTCGGCGGAGAGAACGCTCACCTGTCAACTCACCTGTCAACTCACCTGTCAACTCACCTGTCCTGACATAAAACTGCAGGTTTCTGTTTCTCTTCAACACTAACTGAGGTGTAACACTGACCACGTTCTTCATAAAAACCTGCAGGAAGTTACAGAATATTGTGTTCATGAGGTGGAGACACAAAACAACAAAACATAAAAAAGTTTCTTACTTCATTGATTTGATCAAACATCACTACTTTGCAACGAGCAGCTTTAATCTGGATTATTAATAATTAATCTGATGGGAAACTACAGATAACGGTTCAGTTTTCATTTAGCCCTTCATGGAGAAAAACTATCTGGTCATTTTTGGTCTCTTGACGTCCCGCTACAACAAATAAAAATAAAAAAACACCTGGAAGTTGTTTGGGTAATAATTCCAGTTTAGGTCCATAAAGATTGTTTCTGATTTTTTGGTATGAAATGGGAAAAAAAAGGAGCTCCTAAAGTTCTGATCAGGTCTGGGATCTGGAGGTTCAAAACATCGTCTTGTTTTTTTATTTTGCTGCTCCAGTCGATGTTTTCAAACTTTAGGAGGAAACAGGAAGTGGTGCGAACCAGCCGCACGACCGAAACCCCAGACGCTCCGACGCTAGCCCAGCTGGATGTGACCCGAGTACGTGGTGAGGAGCAGCATGATGGAGAAACCCGTCAGCAGCCCCGCGTTCTGGATGGCGAAGGTGATGAGGAAGCGGCTGCCGCCGGCGTCCTCCTCCTCGCGGCTCACCTCGTTCATCTCTGGAAACTGAGGAACAAAAACTCCGTGACGTTCTCCTTCTCCGAGCGCTTTGTTATTAAACGTCTGTTCGTTCCCTCACCATGTCCGCCAGAGCGATGTAGAGGAACATCCCTCCGGCCAGAGCGAAGATCCAGTTGGGCGAGAAGCTGTTCCCCGCCAGGATCCCGAAGCCCATCCCCAGGTAGCAGCAGCACGCCGACAGGAAGTTAAAGAAGAGCGCCTGCTGGAGGCTCATCCCCGCGTTCAGCAGGATGACAAAGTCTCCTGGTGGAAAAAACACAAAACAGCTGAAACAACAGGTGCTAAAATATAAGAAAACAAGCAAAACAGCTGAAACAACAGGTGCTAAATAAAAGAAAACAAACAAAACAGCTGAAACAACAGGTGCTAAAATAAAAGAAAACAAACAAAACAGCTGAAACAACTGGTGCTAAAATATAAGAAAACAAGCAAAACAGCTGAAACAACAGGTGCTAAAATATAAGAAAACAA